AACGTCAAATTTACTTAAAACATCGGTTATTTGAAGTTTAATCAGGCTCCAATATATAAAATATTTATATAATATAGAAAGTTATTGGATTTGATTCCTTTGTCAATCATATACTTTCCTATAACGTAGTGAATAGACTCAAATGTGCATGTCTCCTCACTGGGAGATTATGAGACATCACAATGTTTATCCATAGACATGCTATCTTTCTGGCCGTTTGCATAATTAAAAGTTAAAACCATAGAGTCAAGGTGAGACACGGCATACGTTTTCAGCCCTCCTCAGTATTGTTCACGCAGTCGAATCTCGCGCAGCTTATTTTTTACGTTTAAGTGGTAGTGTTTAGTGAAGTGTTCGTGTTTATACTTAGAATTAGTGTGAGTAATAAATATGTTTAAATGTGGAATTATCATATTTTTTTTTTGTATTGATAAATTAAAATATTTTAACTTTTATAATTAATATTAAAAAGCCATCAATATATTCATGGAAAAATAGCTAAATCTATAATGTTTCGTAGAATAACAATAATCTTAAAGTAACATATTCACTATATATCTTTTCACACCGATGCATTAATAAATTTATTTAATTATTAATTGTTACTCAAAAAATGAGTGACCTATTTTAGTATCTGGACCATTAATAATTTTTCTTTAGGAAAGAGGGTTTAGGTTCCTGTTCCTGTGACAGTCGTCGATATTCGGGACAAGCGTACCGTATGAGCAAATGTAATTAAATTTTTAGTCCTGAGGCGTAGGCTTGACCACTAGGATTTAAATTACTTTGAAAAAACTGTTAAATCTATTTAGTACAGTACATTACTTCCTGTTAAGAAAAATCAATAATAGATGATCAATTAACATGAAAATTATGAAGTGTTCAAGGTTTGCAGAAGTTACTTGTATTTAGAAAGGTTTATTTTCCTTGTAATTAAACGTTTGATTTTATTAACTAAATTGAAGATCAAAGTCATAACACATTCGGTCACACTAAAACCTTAGGTCTAAATTCGAAACAACATATCTATGTTATTGCAATAAATCTTACTCTTACTTATTTTTCTGGTCTATGGGCAAGTTCACTAATCTACTGCAGGTTTTTTAACCAATTTAAAATTGATTCCGTAATTCAAGTTAGCCATTATACCCTTAACAAGTAAATCCGAACATTATTTAATTATTTACAGAATAATGTTGCTATGTACCACGGAAGTAAACAGAGTAGATTGATTGGCACTTGTCGTGATAACCTCAGATAACTCTAAGAAAACCCTTATGTAATACCATATCTAAAAACTTCCATAATAATGTGTTAAGATCCCCAGTGTGGCAAACACTTTTTTTTTCCTTTCTAGGCTTAATGAAATTCTACATTGTTCTCCTTTGACCAGTTCGCCTTCGAGTTAAGTGTATTGCTTTCAACACCGTATTGAACCCCGTCTATATACTACTTTTTTTTCTATATGCGCTCATACCACATGCAAAGGCAATGCGGCGTTAAAAAACCAATAGTCGTAGACCAAAAGATCCACGGCACAGAAGTCTGTTTGCCTGTAACGAAATTTTATTTTTATTTATTTCCCCCTATTAAGGGATAACAACGAATCCCCACTTACTATGGTCCTCTACCTTTCTCGCTTCATCCACTTCCATGACATTCATCATGCATGCTCATTGGTTACCTCTTTTACTTTAGAAAATTGATGAATATTATAACTTTTAAAACGTTACTCAGTTGTAAGCTGGTATTATGCATGTTATTCTGTTCATCTATATGTGTTTCGGTCACATGAGCGCAGCTGAATACAGACATTGTACTCATTAACATGTAAATATGTGCTACGCGTGATGCTGTAATCACTACTAATTATTTTATATAATACCTACAGGATGACCCAATTTCACGTCATTAACTCGTTAAAGAGCAGTCTTTCGGGTTAAAGTTTTATATAAACTAAATAAATTAAATTACAGTAAAAAAAGGTTCTCCAACGGTCTGGGCGTCAGATTCTTGAACTCGTGCTGGTATTCTCACGTCTTCAGGAAGATTACTTCCTTATTTTATTTACATTTTGATTACAATTATTAAATTGCGCTCATATATGTTAGTGACAATCGGTGTTACTTCCACGACTTAAGGGTTAAGAGCACCACCACCAGGAAAGAGCGAATTGGTGTCGCCTTGTACCAACAAACTATTATCGTGAACGAAACATTTTATTTACTTCCTTCTATGTAATAGTAAGATATAGAAACAACGTCGGTTAAGAAACTCAATTTCGATTCGTAAGTAATAATCATAATAGCCTTTATTGCTGTAAAAAACTTATCCTAGTAATAAAATGTGTATTATAAACACTAATAATTAATCGGCAAGCCTCCAACCTCCATTAATAGGCGTCCTGTAAGAGCTTGCACTCTTCTCGGTGACTAGCTTTACGTAGCCACATAGAGCCTGCTGCTCTACTTATATCATCTTCCCATCTTTTTATTTGCCTTCCTCGTTTTCTTTTGTTATAGCGAGGAAACCATTCCGTCGCTTTTTCGTCATTTACAATTCGTAAGTAGTATTGTAAAAATATATATAAATTGTTTCTTTAAATCCATTTTACACTCAAAATTATATTCTAACGTATTGATAGTTTTGCGCTGTAAACTATGTCTTAACGTCTTATTTACGTCGATTTAGTAAATCACAGACATTATAGTAATAGCTAAGTGACTACTTATGTATAACAAAATAGAAGATGATAACCAATTACTATTAAGTACTAGAGGCTTGGCTTTGTCCAATCCATGACATTTACAAAGACGCTATTGCTCTTACTTCCCGGGTAGGTTCAACATCTACTACTTCTAAACATGAATTTATTCGATTTACACCACTCGAAGTTTTAACGTCTCTATCAACTAAATATGGCAGTCTCACTGACCACGATTGCTAATAGAATCGCAATTGAAACGTCGTCTTATTATAACTTAATTTTATGATCCGTTATTTATGTTTAATTTAAAAGACTAAAAAAATTTTAAGATTTTTTAAAGATATTAACAAATTATGATAATGATAATAGCCTCACTTTAAGTTCGTTGTGTACGTGAATGATTTTTAATAAGTTGTCTTGGCTAAGTGTTATTAGAAGTACTGACAATAAAACACAACCGAACCTTGTTAAATATATAATTTATGTGCTGAAATAAGGAAAACTGAATTATCAATTATGAGCTCACACTTCCCGCTTTGGTCCAGAGTTAACAAACAGTTATGACTAATTTACTCATATAATGACCAGTATGTATTGATATCGCTGAAGAATAAGATAAATTTTGTGAAGTGTTTGTTGTTGGAAATTACCTCGTTTTGGTTAATTACTGCGGTGCTATATACAAAACTCATTCTCATTTAAAACTTTGGTTGTTTATTTTAATTCTAACATTGTGAAATTAATATTAAGTTTGTCAGTTAATTAGTAGGTTTGTAAGGAATCATTTTTTGAACCACTAAGCCAATTTCAAAGGTTCCATCACCAGTAGATCGGGCATCTGTTGTATTGTATTTCTTGATTTTGACCTTTGAATTCCATATTCTCTCTACCGTTAAGCTTGCATTCAAAATTTTTAGAACTTAGAAAATAACGTTATGCCATTGTGTAATAAAAATAATAAGTAATTGGTGTCTCAACTTGGTGATTCAAAATGTCCGACAGCGATTGTTGCTGTCCAAAACGGTTGACGGATTCAAAATTATGTCTGTCATGTACATACCACTTGGATTTAATATTATATGGAGTATTGAGTTTAATAGTAGTGTCAATATTTATTTATGTTTTTTATGCACGATAAGTTTGTCGAAGGTAAGCGTTTAATCTCCCAGTTATTATTGTTACGACAGCCGTTTCTGATGTCAATAAGGACTTGAAGCACAGATTTTATTTATTTTGTTTAAAATAATAATAAGAGAATCTTAATTTAATCTATACATAAAAGTAACAATTATATCAATATATTTTTTTTAAAATAAATATAAAAATTTCGTGCATAAGTTTTGGAAAAAACATGCTAAAACTTATATAGTATCGGCGCAGGTAAATATAATTAAGCCACGAAGATATTTGATGATAATATTATTCATCATCTAGCATGTAGAGAACTATAAAGAATATATTAAAAGTCACACACCCAAAAGCTGAACAACTGCCATATTTTTTTAATTGATAACGCGTAACCCGCGGTCCACAATGACACTATTGTTTACAAAGACGATTTAACGTCTATGTGTTAAAAGATTAAGGCCTGGATGATAATCTGAACACAAACACTACTGTAGTGACCTTTTTCAAAAAGGTTCTGTCCACAAGTGTGATAGGAAAGATATTTTTTTTGCTTATCTGGTGGTGAGTAAAACGACACACAAAAGGATTATGCGTTTCCTTCTTCTTTGGTAAGCACGCGAGGACACGCAACAAAATACAGATGATTTCCGTTTCTCCTATCATAATCAAACGCAATGTTCGCCTCACTCATTTTTGGTAAAAATTTTACCAAATACCACACCGTAAAAAATAACATCAACATTGTAAATAAGCAACAGCATTTTTTATGTTTCTAAAACAAATGATCAGTTAATGAGTAATAAAATAACATATTAATGTAATACTCTGCTCTTACAAATTCATAAATGCAATTACTACTTGGTAACTGTATATATTATTCGGAGTTAGCTTATTTCTATGCCTCTTCTTATTTGGAAGTTGTTAATGCATAGGGTACACTGACGTTTAGTCTGATCATTTGCAACTTCAGTTTAAACATAGTGTGCTGTGTGACGTTCATTTATTTGTTTTTATTACTTTTATTAGTACCAAAGAGTATCAGAAAATAAATTGTATAAAATAGATGGAGGATTTGTGGAGAGTTTTATTAACTATTAAGCGCATGTCTGTGACCTAGATGTATGAAATCCGTATATTTTCAGGTCCTACTATGAAATAATATACGATGACCGACCGAGAAAATGACATAGAACCTTATGAAGCTGTAGCAAAAGGACTAAACTCGCCTGAAATACGATCCAATAGTAACATACCATTTGCCGACGAAGCTGTTGAATTAGAAAATGTCAACGATCCAATACGACCTCAACGCTTCAAAGACGTGGAGAAAGGAGAACCAGAAAATCCGAAAATTCACGCATCCGACTTAGGAAGTGTTCACACACCAAACAGTGATACAATCGTAGTTGACACTCCTGAAGGAACTCTGTACATAACTCTCGATCCTGATTCTTCCAAGTCATCTAAGCCTACAAGTCCCAGTACACAGTCAACTGATCTGTCGACGCCTAGTACGTCTAAAGCGTTTGGAGCTGAAGAGTCAGATGCTTTGATAACGTCTGAGTCAGAGGTAGAACAGAGAAAGACGAATTTGAGACGGAATTCAATATCGATGCCGAATATAGAGCTACTACGCCAAGATTATTTGAACAATACACAAGGCAATGTGAGTATTATTCAATTTATTTTACATTGTTTATGCATTATGTCTCGTTTTATTATTCTGTCTCTAAGCATTTATTGTCAAGTTTATTACCATGGTCATGTAGTATTCAAACATAATTCGCTTAAACGTTATTCATGTCAAACTAACATGAAAACGGTTTCGAAACTTCATTTCGTGCTAACATTTCGTTAATAAAGATTGAGTCAACGTAAAGAACGGTACCATTTTTCATCATATCGTAGACTGTTAGAAAGACTTGGTTGTAAGCGTATCATATACTATAAGCATATGCCAAAATACACACCAACATTTTGGTCATAATAAATACATAATAATATTTAGTGGTATAATTTAATCTAGCACAAAATTTCAACATCGACTTACTCAGTTAATAACGTGTTACTATTTATCTAAAACGATAACAATTTTGATAAACAAAAGAAATAAAATCATCAGTAGCATAAATATACTAACGGCGTAATGTTTAAGTTTGTCATATCATTATTTACATTCGTATTAAATGTTACATATAATTGATGCAGTGACCCAGTGTTCAAGTGTGTGTTAGGATTTTTAATAATAGACTGCGCACATTACGTGTCCTTGACACAAGATAAGGGTTATCGTTAAGATTTGATCGAAGATATTTGTGTGAGATCAGGTGACTAAAATGAGGGTAAGAAAAAAGCCTGATTTGAGGATAGATATCCCATCCTACCCTCACGACTATGTAGAAATGCCACCTGAAACTAAGAAGCTGATACACGAAGCTAACAGAACCCCAAATGATATACCCTATATTGATGAGGGCTCTCCGTCGTCACCCAAAGTCCACTTTCAAGTTGGGAGTCCCGACTTTACGCAAAATCAATACGAATTTCGAACATCCACACCGGAAGTCAATTACATAAGTGATTCTAGTGAAATACAAGATACAAAATCTGAACAATCCAGCCCAGTTCTTAGGAAACCATTTAGAAAAACGTCAACATCTGTACCAGCTGATTTGCAAGATTACGGGCAAAATGCTATTTCAGACAACAATAATGTAAGTTATCTACGTTTTCGTTGTACTTGCAAATTTATTTATGTCTTTGCACGTGAACCAACGTTTGGTTCTTCAATTTCAATAGTATAAGTAAAATATGATTTTTTAGGCACGTTTGAATGGGAAACGATTCTTTCTCCTAGAATGGAACTCAAGCCATACGCTCTTTACGTAACAAACAGTGTAGGCGACTCAAATATTATAAAAGCATCGAAATAGGTTACTGTAATCTTTATCTTGCGACTTTCCGAATACAAATAAAATTAGCCTAATCAAACAGCAAATATGCATTGTTCAATGACCCTAATCCAGTGTCTGTCGTCGAGATAAGATTACACTTAGAGAAAAACGAAGAAAGTGCAAGAATGCCTAGACACATTGCAAAATAGAAATTAGAATATAAGATCTGCTTATTCGCAAATACCTAATCGATAAAAAGGCTTTAAAATTGAGATGTGGTTGATAATATTGTGTATTTTCAATAAACTTGAATAAGCACTTAAATAGCAATAGTCAATTAATCGAGTCGACTTAGGGTCTTTCAAGGAAAGAGCGTACCAATTCTTAATAGCCGACAACGTACTTCCGAGCCCTCTGGCAGTGTCCATCGGGAGCGGTATCACTTAACATCACGTGAGCCTCCGGGCCGAATAATTAAAATAATTAAATTTACTAGCGTAAATCTATTTTTTACTTTAAAATAAAATTATTGGATATCACGTACACAAATGATTAAATTAATAAGAAACGACAGTGCAGTCACGCAAATGGGAATTTGATTACTTGAAATTCTACTTAAATAACTACATAATAATAAATGTAATCGAAGTGATATTGCTTTTGAGAGAAGAGCACATTTTCAAGATGAACATAACAAATCAAATTTATATTAAATGTATTCAATATTTTTCCGTTCGTCACACCTAACGTCTCTACTATAAAGGTGTTGGTCTGACACTGAATCTCGACAAAGATTATCTAAATTACTAGACATCCTGTTACGGGGGCACCAATCTTAGGGATCTTAATATTTTTATTAACTACTTAATGCGTTCGTTTTCTCATGTCTAACTGACAGCGATATTCTGACGGAATAATACAATAAAATGTTTGACAACATAACGAAGAGAACTATACCGTTACCAGAGAATTAGCGCTACGTAGATCCTTATCTATCTCTCTTTTATATAATATAACAGGTTATATATGGATAAATTTGACCCCAGAGCTGGTGATTTCCTCGCTCAACGAATAAGTATCGCAATACAGTGAGAAAGTTCTGCCAGCATTAAAAGTACACTGCCACAGGAACCAAACTTTTTAAATTTGTTGTAATTTTCTATTTATCTGTTATATGACATAACTGATAAAACATCACATCAAACACAAAGGTTAGCATTCGTTGAATATTGTTTGTTTAAATTAATCTTGATACAAAAAATCTACCAGCTAAAGTAATAAGATTTAGCATAATATACGGCTTTAATAAAATAAATCAGCGACCACGTTTGCGCGTCCCATCTTCCCGATCCCACAATTACAATTGCCCGTGATCTTACCAACGTGCTCATTTTAATTTTAAAATGGTTCAATGCTCATACCTACTTCGGTTACAAACGCGATGTATTGTGTTTTTGAAATTGTGAATATTTGTATTCCATATTTGAATTGTGAAGTTTGAAAAATAGTTTTGATTCGGTTGCTAAAATCGTAAAATGTTGATTAAAAGTTGAAACTCCGTTTCATGTCACGGTTTTGCACTCTTTGAAATAATAAATAATATACTCGTATGTTCAATTATTACAATTAGCAATTTTATTAATTAAAAAAATGCTGTGTTCTTAGAAAATTAATGAATTGTTTACGTGTCTCATTTTAAAATGGATAACCCATCTCGTTTTAATACATTTGCGCACACGTTCAAATATCGATCACCTCTATGGATAGAATCGGACTCAGACTTGAGCCGAAGTAGTGAAAATAGAAGTAACAGCGACGACAGCGTTCGTAGTGACAGCTCTGGAAGTATCAACAATTACTTGGATTCTAAGGTTAGATTATGAACCGTGAAAACAACGGCAAAGGCAGAAGAAATGTACAAGATTTTGTTTGATATCTATAACATGTCCAATACACATCTTTTATGCATGCAAGTGTATCACAGGCTCCAAGCTTATCTACTAAAAATAAGTTCGTAAAATTTAGTCTACTAAATCATCTCTTCTGACAGAGTGATACTGTGTCGAAAAAGACAGTATAAATTTCCTTCAAAAAAGCTTAGTCAGTAAATATGTCACTAAATACTTAGTACTAAGTAATACTTTACAACATAGAATTAAATATAACAAAATGTACAAACTGATAAAAACAATTTGAAACAATACATAATATTGTTTAATATTTAATATTATGTAATAAATTGCAAATTTTACAACAGGTAAGCTATGTGTGTCTTTTTGAATTATTTATAAAAGCGCTAATATTATGAATAGAAGTGTATGAATGTTAACAATGGGAAAAGATTTTTATCAAGATAGTTATAGCTGTGTCACTGTGTTTATTATACTTTATCTTGATCTTAAATTATCTTACTTTAGGTCATATATAATAAGAGTATACCTAGAAGATATAAGGGATGGAGGATTTTATTAGAACCTCAGAAAAGAAGTATAGGAAAATTGAGTAAGGCTTCCTTTTTCAAATTACGTCAAGCTAGCAACGCCGAATATGAAAAGCATAATATTTAAGAATGTTACAAACACAACGCCATCTAGTATCCGTGCTTGTTACTATTTGTTAGAGTTTACGATTTTTTTACTAGATGTCGCTAGCAGCATTCAATATTTAAAACATTAACGATTCGTTTCTCAAATGAACTACTACTATATTCTAATATTATGTCCTTTCAAATATTGGCGCTCATTATGGCTTCTTTAATTTTGGAAGCCGAGCTTCTGAACAATGACTTGGTGCCTTAACCAAACTATTGCCGAAGATTCTTTACGACGTGCGTTTACGACGTTTACTCCTTCTACTGATATAATAGCAATGTCTGTCTTAACACAGATTAGAGATTTAACTCAAGAAAAATATTGATAATTACTTGCAAAGTAATTACAAATTATTAACGTAATGCATTTTACTAAGTTTAATTAGCTTAGACAGTATTGAACAAAGTCAGAATTTGTAACAGTGTATTTTTGTACTAAGTCCCAACTGAGTACTAAAATATACTCAATTTTACGGAGTACCACTAGATACGTCTAAAATTAATTGCGATATCTAGACATACGACAGACTGCATAGTTAAGTACTGTAATTAGTTAATTGGCTAAATTTTGCACCTCAGTTGCATGCAGTTGCACAATGCGAGCTGTAAAATATCGTAGAGATTTGGATTGTATACCATTAACGAAGGTCAGGATTTTCAAAATCAAATCTTAAAATCAAAATTATTCAATTTTAGATAATATCACGTCTTTATAAGTTGTATGGACGTCAAATGACGTAAATTAATGTCCGATATTAACATTTACAATATGTTTTAATAATGGAATTAACAACATTTTCGAATAAATTTCCTATAAAAAATTTTAAAACTAAATTTGGTGACTTTCTATTTTACGATTTTACTTGCAATAGTTTCCTACTTACATGAGAACCTAATAAACCTCCTTTCATTGCAGATCCCCGAGCACCATCAGAGTACAGCATCCGGCTTTAGCGATGGTGACAACACGCAGGATGATAATAACGCTCTCTCGGACGAAGAACGAGCCAAGTCTGTACAATCTTACAACTTCTCTTCTTAGAACGTATAAATTAGCCTTAAGAAATTATTATTCATCTGCTTAAATATTTAATTGAATACTTAATATACGTGAGGTCGGTAGGGTTTGCAAGCCGTGGGAGTGATCAGCTAATAAGGAAGTGCATCCGACCATTGACCTGTTGCGAAATCACCGCCCTTTGTGCATGGATCGCTCATAGTAAGATCTTATAGAAATGTTACTTGCGGGTTTGAGATATAGATTTGGCTTTGAAATTGCGTAGCCTTCTTCTGGATTATGATCCAGTCAAACATATTTTTATTGATAATTTTCCTCCGGCAAGTAAGTAATCACCCTTTAAAAGTTCCCACGATCAAAATGATGCGTTTAAACATTTCATACGTATGGATTGCATCATTATGTATCATTCAGTTGTTGCTGTTGTTAACGTACTTTTTCAATCAGGTTATTGTAACTAATCACCCGTACGAAGTGTAAATTAATTAAATAGATATCTAGTAGTCGAATCTTAAATTTGATATACTACTATTTTTAAACTTGTTGATGTAGCGGTACGGTGTTAAATCAACATCTCATGCACCGGTGAGTAGCAATTGACAAAACATTAGTGTATGGAATGTTTAAGCGCATCTTTTGTTGTTGCTGTTGTTAACGTACTTTTGCATCAAAAAGAATTAGATAAATATCTAGTGGTCTCAACCTATTGATACAAGTTTTATTCTTCTTGATGGGTGGGTAATGTGTCAAATCATCATCTTGTGCACCGGTAAGTAGCAATTGACACACATCGCAGCCATTACGAATGTATGATTGCAGGATCCGTCTTGCACTTGAGGTGTTACTAGGTTTGTTAAACGAGTTTGGTTGATGATTGATAAAGAGATTAATATATGACCATAAATCGTGTAAAAGCGCAGTGTTGGCCTAATGGCTTCAGCGTGAGACTGTCATCCCTGAGGTCGTAGGTTCGATCCGCGGCTGTGCACCAATGGACTTCTATGTGAGCATTTGCTCGAACGGTGAAGGAAAACATTGTGAGGAAATCGGCTTGCCTTAGACCCAAAAAGTCGACGGCTTGTGTCAGGCACAGGAGGCTGATCACCTATAAGAAAACAATTCAGTTAAGTTGAGAAAAATAATTTTTACACATAAGTTTATGAATAAAATAAACAAAGTCGGCTTCAAGTTACTCATTCAGAGAACGTGATTTTATTACGTCAGCTAAGCAGTTATCGACTTGTAAACATGCCTGTTTTTTATCCAACTGCGAAGCCAAATATGATGATTATGTGTTTCCTATAGTAACAACTTTGATATAATATATTTTACATAATGTTGCCGTATAATTATCGTGCATAACGCGAGTGAAATTTTCAGTACCCAAAAAAAAAAATTACTTTACCTACGAACATAATATTTACAAGCTATAAAAATAGATTGTAGCGACAAATAATATGAAGTAAGTACTTTCAATGAGTGATTAATTAATTTACGAAATATTATTTTGAATTTAATCCTTTTTATAGTAAATTAGTTGTGATAAATACTATGGTAAATTAATATCGCGTTAAAATAAGATTACATTTTTCAACTTAGGTTAATAAACCTCAACAGTTTGTTTTGAAGTGCACCTTATAATTACAATACAACAGGTTAAATAGATTTTTAATGATATAGCGATTAACCTCAATTAGAAATGTCTCGAGGAAAGTATAATTTGTCAACTAAAACACAGTGCAATTGTATTATAATGGGATAAAAATAGCAACATAGCAATTCTGCTATTTAACAGCTAATTTACGATATTGTTATAGATACCTATTAATTAAGTATATTAATTTGTAAGAAAATTGTATTCTTTATACACTTTAGGCTTTATTCTTTACAGTTTAGTAAAATTCCGGAGATAGGAGAAACATATTCCTTACATTTCCTTTATAAAAATAAAATTGTATGTTGAAACGAATGGTTAACAACATATTATCGATAACATTATTTAATTACTTACCTCAGAAAGTCTCACTGCAATTAAGTGATTATCCCTTACAAACATAAAACTGTCACTTCGGTCAGTCCGCATTGACGTGCGCGCGCGCAGAGATTTCTCGCTCCGTTTTAGATCCATAGATCTTGAAATTTGTTTGTTTAACCAAAATCAAAAATATATCTTATATAGATATTTAGTAAATGTTCTGATTAATTTTAATATATTGTGAATTAATATTAAAATGTTTACCTACGTTAATTAGTTAACTTGAGTTCACACAGGTATTTATTCTCTTTACCTACGTATCAATTTATAAGCCTTCAAAGTAAGAACATTTTAGTAACCAAAATTAATAATAGGACAATTAAAAAAGAAGCATGCCTGTACTACTGTGGAAGTCGTCTACCAGGTCACGACATTATTATTGATTTACTCGAATATAGTACTTGTTTTTATCATTCATGTAAATATACTATGTTAATAGTGATAAGGCAGACAGTACTTAGTGTAGTCAAACAACTATTCTGTCTTAGTGTGGTATAGTGTATAATTCACTAACTAATAGTTGTTTTCGTTTATCAAACTTTTATGATTTTTTACCTGTTTTGCCTAATACTTATGTCAAATCGTATCGTTTACATTGACATTTTATATCTTATATAACAATCTTAATTACTACGAGTATATTCTTTTTAGAGAAAATTCGAATTAGTTGGAGATCGTCGACGTAGTAGCTGTGCTTCTAGTAACTTAGTTTGTAGCCCTAATCATCGATTGTAGCAAAAATCAAAATAACAAACAAAATCCACACCTTTTAAGCATATATAATCTTATACAAAATATAATTTAATGCACATCGCATTAATTATGAGGTTATCTGCCACAAGTTCAAGAACATTCTACGTTTTGCAAATCCTATGAACCGGTTATGACTTGTTTACATGAAGTGGCATTTGAAAAGATAATGAGGAAACCCTAACAAGGTGTAAACTAAAAATCAAGATGAGAATTGTGTGATATTGTTCAAATTTTTCGTTCTGGGGTAAATTTTAACCGGAGTTTCTTTCATTATATATCTATAATCGATTTATATGCAACACACAAATATACAGTATTTATAATATAGAAATAATACTTAAATTATGAGTAGATTCGCGCCTGAGGCAGTGTACCTTTAATGCTGGCAGCAGTTCATTGCTGTATTGCGAGTTTAGGAGATTAGGAGTGCACCAGCTCTGGGGTCACTGGTACTATCTACTAGGCACCAACTTAAATCTTTAATTAGCGCCTGTGCGCCTGAGTTTCAAGTACACCCCTCTAAATGAGATTGTAGATTTTGGATAGGTGCACCGACTTTGTTTGTACCTATACATTTTGATGATTTTATCTTACCCAGCTACCAAAGTATATTTTTTATTTGTTCTCATTGCATAGAAATCATTGTCAAAGTCGACGGTGTTATGACAGTTTCAAGTATAAAAAGCGTTGAACTAAGACCTAATTGAGAACCAAAAATTTTAAACGTAATATGATATCTACATTACTTCTCCGTTAAAAAACTAAACGTTGCTTGGAGGTGTTTTACATTAAAAACTGTAGATATATGATGACTGTCTTTTGTTTATTTTGTATTAATTATATTATTTTGTTTCAGAACCCCTCTCAGGTCCCCGCGTCGTAAGCTACCACGACGGTCGCGGTCTGAATTTAGTATGGATGACGAGGACTACTCTCCAAGCAACTCTGTTACCTCAGTCAATTCACTCGCCAGCTTACTAAAGGAGAAACTACAGGTTATTTATATAAGAAATTTTTATGGTAAATAACGATACGAGCGAATACTTAAACTGTGAAATATTGTTTTCCAGAGACAAACCTGAAAAAAAATGTAGTTTCTCATCGCCAAGGTGCCTTAATCGTAAACGTTCATGGCTTCGATTCACGGCGACACAATAATTCTAAGGAATTAAGCTTTTAAGTAACTACTAGTAGTTTCATCTACTGACTGTTTCATCTTAACACTAAAACGTAGCTTGCTTAAATACTCCCAATAATCTTTAACATTACTTTATCTAAAAATGTACAAACAGCGAAAAGTGATATTATTACTACAATTTATGTATTGTGATAATTTTACCTTGACCCGAATACGTCAAAGAAAATGTTTAAAACTTACTAACAAATAAAACTTCTAATAACATTTAATATCAGTTTACACGCTCAGTCGGTTTTGTTTTTCGAACGATACAATTTATTGAATTCGAGTTATGCACTATAAAATGCTAATTGCAGTGTATAATAAACGATAAAATTATTAAGTATGTCATATCGACAAAGTTTATTACATTGCGTATCTTAAATATCATCACGTTTTATGCTTTATATGTAATTCTAAATTGTGTATGTTGTTCTTATTCTTTAGTTTATTGAAATAGTGTAAAGATATAGATCACTTGATCATACATACAGTGACACTATATTCCGTAGTCTGGCCCTCACATTTCTGCATTGATTTTATATTTTTTATATTATAAAAATAGGAAAAAAATAGTGTAATTTAATTTTATTTATTTTCTTAAAAATATATATATAATAGTATTAAGTTCACTTTGTTCTTTTGCAAGAAATAAAAAGGCTTTTTTTTATTCCTTGAACTCTGACAATAGATTTATG